CATTTTCCTTTGTTGCATTTGTTATTCTTGTGTGAGTATTTGGTGGTGTGTTACAGTATTTAAGTGTATACTTTCAAAAAATGAAATGTGTTGTGGATGTTTTGTATTGGAGATTAAAAAAATCTGCTTGAGAGCTCCTAGTATATTATGCAGGTAAAGCTTTTTTAAGTTTAATTGGTTTGGTGAATGTGCTTCAGAGGAGAAAAAATAATACAACTTTTGTAAAAGCTCAAACAAAATATTGGATATAAAATGTGCAATAGAACGTAATAGAGTAGAACAGCAGATAGTAATTCTGTCAAGACAATATAGGAGAAGAAAAATTGCGTGGCTTTTACTACAAACCAGTTCATATTCCTGTACTTTTCTGCATCATTTTTGTATTACTGACTTTTTCCTGATTTCTTCATAACGATTACTTGCTTCCAGAAGTTATCAGCATGTAGGTTAAGAGTACCGCATTTCTTATGTCTGTCCAGTATGCTTGATCTGAAATGTTAGGGAAGAATGTGATGAAAAAACAAAACCAAAAAAGGTTTCTTGGAGAAAACTTAGAGCTTTGACCTGCCTGGTGCTGAGAAAACGTTCTGTCAGTTGTTAAGGTTTTTGTCCTATTCCTCAAAAACCATAATGATCAGTAATAAATGTGAGCAAATAGCAATGCAAATGTACTAAGGTATTAACAGAGGAGCAGCACCTGCTCATTCAAAGTGTTCAGTAGAGAGGACATCAGAGGCAACGGGGTCGAGCCTCAGCCTCACAGGTGTGACCGAAAGGGAGCAAGTGTTGGTTACTGGATCTTTTTGTGTGAATATTGGGAGGGAAGGGAAGCAGCTTGAGAAATCAAGGGTATTTATTTATAAGACCTTTTTTTTTAATGCTTCTGAAGTGCTAGTTTATAAAAATAAACCATCTTTTTGTTGTTTATTACCAGTAAAAATTGGGTTTTGTCCTTTGATAAATAGAAGAGGGAAAATGAGAAGAGAGCTTAGGAGGATATTTAGGCTCTGGTCATATTTAAAGTCCCAGAGTTATTTTCCAGATGGATGTTACCAGAGAGGCATAAGAATTATGGGTAGAGAACGCAAGCATTAGAAAATGCAGAAAGGTTTCATACTGTAAAAAAAAAAAAAAAAAAAAAAAAAAAGAAATCATAAGCCCCAGGCTCTCGTCTTAAAGGGTGGAGCATATCCTGTATGACCAGTAACCGAGCTTTTAGGGATGCCTATCGGGAAATGTTAAAAAGTGAAATTCCAGAATACCTGACTAAACTAGTAAAGGTGAATATTCACAGTGTGTGGTTGGAAGCATCCATGCAGACAGGACTGTGAAGGGGAAAATTCCGAAGGAAAAACACAACTGGGGATGGGGTGGGAGAGAGAAAGAAGTGGTAGGAGTGATACTTGTTCCTGGGTAGGTAATGGTTAAGAGACAGTTAGGCCAGCTCAGGAGGGGAACCATAAATTAAGAACAACGCGATATTTGGTGAACAGCCTCTGCTGTGAGGAAGGCGTGTCCCGGGGGGCCCAAGAGGGCTCTGTGGTGGGATCCTGATGGGTGGTGTGCTGGGGCGCCTCCTGGTTGCTGGGTACATGGCACAGCAATCGTGAGGGAATGAAAATGGGGAGAGGAATTGCAACCCTTCCCGTTGCTGTCCCTTCTGTCGGACAGCAAGATGTTGTGCAGGTCTTGTCAGAGTGCCAGCCCTCGTGGGAGGCTGTTGGGGTGAGAGGGATTAGATAAGTGTTAAAATCTAATAGAATGGTGGGAGCAGAGTATCAGTGAAAAGGCTGCTGTGAGGAAAGGAGAAGAAAATGAGTTTGTCAAATACCGTGCAGAAGACAAGCAGCGAGTCTGAAAAGCATATTCCTCACAGAAGAGCGGCTTAGGAATTGCAGTATTTGTTTTCTCAAGTTTCAAGAAGTGTTGCTAGTATTTATACTATTATTTAAAATCAGCTGTATCAGCATTGCTTGTTAACTTAAACTGGGACTTGAGACAGCAAGCCAAAAACTGCTACTTGTTCGCCTTTGCAAGTAAGGGACACAAAGCAGATTGCTTTCTCTAAGTCGGCTCCTGTAGGAGCAAACAGACCTGTGGACGTGGCAGGGTTTGTGTTCAAAAGGAATGCATAAGAGGAAAGCATAGTAAATTCACACAGCCTTTACTATTTCCAGGCATAAAGTGTGGTGTCTGGTAGGGACTAAAATTAACTTAATGATCTAAAGATTTACTTACACAAGATTATTTTTTTTTTCCCCTAATTTTTGGCAAGGCCAAAGATTGTAGGTCATAGTCTGTTCTTTCCTGTCTGATAATTGCAAAATCCATTACTATCCCTTTGAGATGTTTTTTTATAAAAGACTGTACTAAATCTGAATAAAAGCCTAATAAGTAGATTAGTTAGAACAATAGTCCTCATGAGGATGTTTGATTCTGATTGTAGCTGCTAGAGCTAACCCTAAATGCAATTAGGTTTAACTCCCTGTGAGTGTCAAAGGAAGGTGATACCCATGGAGACTTCCCTCCAGATGACACTATTTTTAAAGTGTCTCAGCATTTAAATTATTCTTTCCTTTGGGCATTGGTAACAAACTTTTTTTTTTTAATTGTTGGAGAAACAGAGCTTGGAAAACTGTGGTTTAGCCATTAGTTTTAGATGTTTCACATCAAAAAGAGGGATGGCTCAGCTTGCTTGGGGGAACAGTTTGTTGTCCTCGTCTGTACCCTTTGTAATTGTAAGGCTCAAATATCCCAAGGTGGCCACAGACAGGGAAAAAGAGAAAATATCAGGTTCAGTAACTTACACAGGCTTAAAGGTAATGTGATCAAGTGTCAATAGATAAACTGTTGATGGATTAATTCTCTTTTTTCCTCTTGAAAGAGAAATGAAAGCAAAACTTTATTAAAATGAAAATAGAGTCAGTAAACATTTCAAAAATTCGCATGTTATAGGGTGCGATATAACAGAAACTGTAAAATTGCAAACTACTAAAATTGTTTAATTTAATTATAAGTACCACAGAAGAATTGCACTGTATTTAAGAATTTGGTCCCATTTTCACATAAAAAAGGAAAATAAAAAAAGAAAAACTTGGTGAAACAATTCCATTACTTCCTTTTTTGATATATTCCTACATATGCATGTGTTTACTTATATTTATTTTCTCCTATTTTTAAATTATGAAAACAATCTCATCAACTTTTAGTATTATGTTTTTGGGAAAGTTGTTGGTAACACCAAAATGAAGAAATCTGCAATTTTTATTTTTCCTTATTTATTTACCCAAGTGTTTATATTGATAGTCATTGTGCTCCATACTTCACTTATCTTTGCTTCACTTGCATGTTTTTCTTAGAATTATCTTTCAGTGGAGCGTACCTGAAAATCTCTTGTTTTCCTTCCTTGCTTTTAAATCAAAAGTCTGTAACATCAAGAGTAAAGCCGAACTGATTCGACATGAGGCACAATACCTGCAAATGACTTAAAGTCATACCACATCAACCTTGAATTTCATGTCTGGCAAGGAGATATTTAGGCAGTGTAGTAAACTCTGGTTTTTGTTGCTTGGAAAACTATAACTTGTCCCTTTAAATCACTCCCCCCCACACACACAAAGCAAGCAATGTTAAACTCAGGAGCTGTCACTCTTTAACATTATTTCTGTTGCAGGCATTTTAGGTCCCAAATATCTGTGCTCTTAACAAATAACTAATTTGTTGTCTTACATCTTTAGCAATGCAAAGCATTTATTTTCTGTTGTTTTGGTCAGCTGTTTTTTATATCTTTAAGTGTCAATGTGTTGCCTTTTTTTCTTTGTGTATAATAAATTACTCTGGCATACAGAAAACCTTTTCATTGTTGATTCTGGTGAGTCTTGGGTGCAAGGTTAAATCATTATCTTATAAAAAGTATTAAGGATTTGAACCTGAGATGTACCAAGTAAAATAATTTCCCAGTGAAGCTTTAAAGGCAGTGAAGAACAAGAATTGAAGTGACCATACGTTAGTTATTAGACTACTTGTCTTACTAGTTTGTCCAAGGAAATCCATGTAAATAAATAAAAATAGGTTTTCTGCTTCCTGTTTATTACATCTCAAAACTCTCCTGTTGTTATTATAAAATTCAATAACAATTTTCTATTGATTTTTTGCTTTTTGAATGAAGGAGTGCTCCCTAATTACTTCATGTTTTCAAAATCCAAGTATATTTGAATTAGTTGTACAACCAGAAGAAACCTGTTTTCTTTTTAGTCAGAGAGGCTACTCAAAGCTAAAGGATTCTTCCCCCCCCCCATATATTAAAATCTGTCTTCCTAAAGCCGGAGAGTTTTTACAAGACAAAAAAGAGAAAAAAAATTGCCATCCTTGCAACAGTGCCATCTCACTGGTTCATGTCTGGAATGAGCCTGATTATGTTGGTAGTCAATGTAAAAGTTATCCTGCTGCTGCAGTAAAGTGTAAGAAGTGATTTATTACAGCTGAAGGTGTCCATTTTCAAAATGTATGTTAAGGGTCTGGTTTTAGGTAATAAAAATTATCTTTTACAAGGATGTAATGATCCATACTTGGCTATAGGAGTAATAGATAATACACTGCAAATAAGTTAGCATGATCCTAAGTACCAATTGTACAGCACGTGTGGAAACTCCCATGGTCTTCAGGGGAAATTCTAACGCAGGTATTACAGCCAGATCTTTATGTACCCCGTCCTTCTTCATGGTTAACGATACCAACAGCGGGTGTGTGTGCCTCCCGCAAAGCAGGATTTCATCAGTACTACTGCTACTCAACATGCCTTTTAGTATGTCATGGATAACAAGATAAAAGAATTCTCAATCGCTAGATTATAATGAGCAATGTATTTTTTACTATTCGGGAATGCTTTGGGTGGGAGGAGGTAAAGCATTCTATTGGCTGTGTTACACCAAAGGTTAATGGAATGGAAGAAAAGAAGGAAAAGAGCCATCTCTAAAATGTATTTGTTTTATTTCATTTAGATTTTCACACACACCTTTCTGAGAAATTGAAAGACAGACAGACAAGCTGGCAGCAGCTGGCTGAGACAAAGAACTCTCTCATACGTAAGGTTTTTATCTTGCTTAAACTGTATTCCTTGTAAACTTAGAACGTAGTTTAGAATTTGTGGGGTTTGCAGTGATTAATCTTAGTTTTGTTTATGTTCTGCTTATTATGTATTGTGGGATTCATTTGTTTTGTTTGTTTGTTTCCTCCTGGGTATTTATATTCTGTTGAATAAACCTGCTCTCTCTCTACTACTCATTTCTATTTCATTGTTGAGTATGACCTTCCTGATTTGACTGCAAGGTGGGGGTTTACTGGGAGTCTTCACTGGGTGGTGAAGGAGCTGCGCTTTCCAAGCTGATGCTGCTTCATGGGACAGGGCTCATTACGTGGAGAGAAAGAGAGCTGAGATGCGAGAGGTGCCAGATCTGGGTACACACAGACATGATGTAAAAACAGTGTGGTACCTGTATCTGGCAGTGTTTTCACAAAGGCAGTTCTGTGTTTTATCCCATTGGTAACAGCTTGCATGTGATACACATTGCTTCAGCGATTCTTAAATCTGACTTTCTAATAAAAGATTTAGTGATAGCTTTCTTCATCTTCAGTCTTGATTTGAAATATTTTGATCTAAGGATTTCCGATTCAGACAGTTAAATTTGGTGTGATGCTGAAGTATTTTACGTTAGGGGCTGTGCATAGAAACTGGGGGGTTGGGGTTTTTGGTGTTGTAGGGAATCATCTCATTGATAGACTGGTTTGGTTTGGGTTTTTTTAAGTACCACTGCTCCCTACACACACACAGAGCTTTTGTTTCCCCGAGAGCAAAGCTCCTTTGGGAGGAGGAGGAGGATGTTTGCAAAAAAGCTTGCAATGTATTTTTTAGCAAAAGACAAAATTAACAAGCTGTAGTAATATAAATCCAAAGACATCTGAAGGAATTTTAGTACAAAGATAATGATTCAGTGGCACCTTCCTCTTGATGTTTCTTAAATTCAAAAAATGGTTTTCATTCGTGGGATTCACTTACCCTAACTATAGTATCAGTATGTGGCCTTACTAATTTATCAGGGGCCGTTTTTATGAAGTCTTTTGTCCTCAACAGTGCCATTTTTGCCTTGTATTTGCCTGCCTAATGAGATGAAAGACATATTTTGATATTTCATTCTTTTTGTCCATTGCAACTATGACCTAGTGCATACATAAGAGATACCTTTCCATTTGGGCTTTTCATTTAAGCACTTAAGTCAATGCTTTGCTGAATTAGGGCCCTAAACAGGAATAATTTGCTGCTTGCTTAATATTCAAATGAGACATAAACCAAGGTTTTCTCGTTGCCCCCAATTTGATTTTCTGATATATTCTTTCCATAATTGCTTGATTGTTGGTAAAAACTAGTGAATGACATTATGCTTGGAATCTCAAACAAATGTGTGAGTGTCTGAGCAAATCCTGGGATGGTTTCTTACATCAAATTCTGGAAAGTATCAAGCATCTATAACCATTTTGTAGTTAATGCAGCCTAAGAATGCTCAGTGTATTTTCAAACTGGAGATAAGGACTGGTTTTTGTATTTCCATGCTTCCTAGAAGAGTGGGAGCCAGAGCATTTGGTGGAGCAGTTAAATTTCCATAATGCTGGTATATAATATTAAAAATTGCCCGAGGTGGCAAAGTATGGTTGCTAATAAAGATGAAATTAATAAAGAATGAAAATGATCTTGTATATGCTTCCGGATTTGTGAAGCGTTCATGATTATTGGTGTTGCAGAAGGGATCTTGGCACAGGTAAAATGAATGAGTTCTGCTGTTTAGGTCATACTAAATGTCGAAGGAAAATACTTGAGTGCATTTTCCAGGATCACAGAAAGGTTTTTTTTTTTTCCCTGCAAATTGCATCCATCTGAACAATGTCTTCTTATTTGAAGCTTTGAGGCTTTTCATCAAATACTGTTTCTCTTTGGTTTAGTTCTTTTCTCTGACAAATTGATACCCTCCCCAATTCAGATAAATTTGATTCATATATTGGTTTAAATTTTTGGTATTGTGTTTCTTCAGGGCTCTAGAAATTAAGAACATGAGAATGTATTAATAACTATATAGCAACTCAAATATATTTGACAGTGTTAGTTCTCACCTCTGGCTTGACAGTAACATGCATTTAAGAAAATAAGAACTGAGACAAGCAATAGAAAAGCTTAGTGCTTTTTATTACTTTTATTAGTCTAATTACTTGGACATACTAAATCTGATCTGGCTAGCAAAATAGTTTGTTGCATGCTCTGAAAGTGGTAGGAAAGGTGCAGTGAGCTTATAGATCCAGACGTGCTGCTGTCACTGATGTCAGCCAAATCTATTACGTTCATAGTTTGAGGGAATTGACCAAACCCAAGGTTTATCTCTGTTCCTTTTAAAAAGTGCCATAGGATTTTTTACATCAATCTGGATGCTGCCAAAACCAGACAGATGGCACTAACCTTGGTTTAAAGCCTCCGCTGGCTGAGAATCCATCCGAATAGCGTTGCAAAGCTTTCAGCGTGCATGTTGTGTCAACAGAGGAGGACTCTTTGTATCACCGTAAGTAGAGCCCTCACAATTCTCATTTTAGAGGTACCCGGTTATCAAGTGTGTTCATTTAGCGGGTGGATTGCTTTGCTGTGTCCTAATAAAATGTTAAGTTTCTTGGTCTATTCAGCCTTTGCTTTGCGAAGCAGAAAGATGCCGCTGGTGTGGAGCAAGAGGTAATGGGGGAAGAGAAGGTTAAGTGCTGAACATGGGTATTATAATGGTCAGTGCTTCAAAAATACAGGCAGAAGGATTGTTGACAGATCCATGCTCAGACTCTGTAAGGAAAAAGGATAAAAGCCTCCTATAGGAAAATATCTCCCCTACGTAGCATTTGGAGTAGACCTAAATCTCACCTTTTCTGACTTCTCCTTTTCTGGGAGAAGAATTCTTATTAGATTAAAACAAACAAACAAACCAAAACAAAAAAAAAACCACCAAAAAAATCTAAAATCTATCTCATACTAAGCATCCAGAATTAATAACAAACAAACAAAACCGCCATGGGTTTCTTTTTTTATAGCTGTGAAATACTGTAGTAAAAGCTCAGAGATTTATCAAAACCATTAATTAATGCTTTTAAAGCATTCAGATAGTGTAATGTTGAGCAACATATAAATGCAAAAGAAGAAATTTAACAGTGCTCAGCTTAGAAAATGATTTAAATAGGACACTAGCAGAGGCCTGCGCTTCTCATTAAATAACAAAGATGAAAGCATCGGTTCCTTGTATAGTGTGTGCAAGCCAACCTGAGCATTAAGTGCCATGGAAGACTTAACAGGGAGGGAGAAAGGATTGAGTCAAGTAATTGTACACCTATTGCAGTGCAGCAGCAGTGCTTGTCCAGGCAGCCTTTTCTCCATCATTTCCTATATTTTGGTTCACTTTGCAGCCATTGTAGTGCAGTTTAAGCATCTTTTCTCTTTGTTTCAATGTTGTGATCTTGAGTAAGCTGTGAACATACAAGTCTGGACATAGTAGTAGAATCCATAGTCTCCAAATTCAGGTGTAATCCTGACAATACCAAAAGGAGATTTGAGCGACTGTAGTTAATAAGCTATGTATTTTATACGTTGTTGCAGCAAGCATATAACTGTCTCAAAGATCTTTGGTAGTCTGTGATGTACAGGTAAGTTCTTAAAGTAATTTTGGGACATTATCCATTGAACTGTAATTTAATTATGATAGGGATCATGCCTTTTCTGGGGGAAGAAAATGGATTGGGGTTTATCCTGTGCTTATGATGTTTAGATGCAAAATGCAACTGGTTGCACAGGGATTTGATTTAGGAGGATGATCTTTCTGTGGCGTGACATTTAAAATCATCAGTGAGAATGGTAGACTGCTGTCTGGTAGCCTTCAGATAGAAATAAATTCTTTTACTTTGTTGAAAACTGTATTTAAATAGTGTGTATGGATACTGTGGATAGTGTTTGTAATTCCTCACAGTAGCAAGGAATCCAGTTCACTCTGCTGCTTGCAATGTAGGTTTGCCTTACTGAGGATTATATGTGCTTGCATTTCTGAGAGGCTCTTTGGGTTTCTATTTTAATGGAAATTCTTTCAGAAATACATGAGCAAAAACTGGTTTTATCATGGGATTTTAGCAATGATTTCTTTAAGTAGCCAACTCCAGGTTGTACAGTTGCTCTTCATGCAAAATACTGTTTTGTTAAGAAACAGTCAACCAGAGAATGTAAACTGCATAGCCAGAAGTGTGTGACAATGTACAATAACGAGAATGTAGCAAATTCTGAGGGGGAAATAAAGCTCTCCTGAATATCGGGTCCTAGAAGAAAACAAGCTGACAGTTCAGGTGCCTCTCCTAGGAGCAGACTTAACACTTGTTACAGAATTTGTCTTGAAAACACCAGTATTTGAACTAAAGAATTTGCAAATTTGCTTGAGAAACAAAACAGATTGTGTGTTGAAAGACTGAGCTGCTAGCAAAATACTCGATCATGTCAGATTTATACAAACTGATCTCCTGTGTATTGCACCATGTCCTAGAAAACTGGAAGCCATGAAAACAAGAGCTTATATTTCAAGGAGTTCTATGACAGCTTATAAAAAATAGCTTTTCCACTTTTTACACGAAACTTCTACCTTAAAGAAACTGATGAAATAGGTGGTAATTTTTAACACAAGCAGTGACAAAATAAACACCATCTGCTAGTGTTGACTTATTCCATAGTAGTCTCATGCTGGGTGATTTTATTTCACTTTTTTTTCAGAAATAGTTAATGACACATCTGCTGCACGGTGGAGGTGCATTTTGGGGGATTAAATGTGGACATAAGTTTAGGGAGAACAATAACGAAACTTTTTCAGGAAACTGAAGGAAATATTAAACTACCAAAAGGAACTTAAGAAATACATAGCTATGTTGATGCCTTTTATTTTGATCCAATTTATGGGATCAAAAATTGTTAAACGTATATTTATTCTTTCAAAATACCTGGTTATCGTGGAAAACTTCTCATCTAGTCTTTCTT